TTGGTCGATATGAGCTTGGGTTTGGGTTTATTAGTAATAAATATTAATTTATTACACTTTATGCATGTCTATCTATTCCTAAATATGTGACAAATTCTTTGTTATGCGTATTTATTAGTTTTGTAAGTTTCTTTGCTTCTTTATGTAAGTTTATTCGTTTTCTAACGTTTTCTTAGTTCTTAAAAATTATACATTGTGATTGGTTAATTATCACGAAAATCACGGGTAGATCTACAAAAATTGACCAATTAAATGAATGTCTTCCTATGAATAGCCACACTGATCAGCCATATGTACCCCCGTGTACTATACCCTGCAATGATTTTGAAGGCAAATTTTTGATTTATACCCGGGTATATAAGTATGGGGGTATCACACTTTTATACCCGGGCATATAATAGTAAAACATATTAAAAACATAGTAGTATTTATACGGTAGACTCTCCCTACATGAGTACTCTGGGTACTAAAACAAACCAGAGAAATACCCCGGGTACACATGGCGAATAAATACGGTAATTGGTTTCGTCCAATATCTCATGATTTGAGATTCGCGAGTCAAAATAACGATAATGGAAATTTGAAAAATCAAACTAGGCAACAGATTCATTTGGGAGATGATTGAGTACTTAATTCATGAATTACGGGTTTAATCGAGCTCAGTCTCTATTTGGTATATAGAGGTTTGGTATAGAGAGGCGTAACTTAAAAACATAAAATTACCGTTACGTAGTTAGGCTGTTTTTTACATTTGGGGGAATTATGTCGCGCTATGTATCACTATATGTTTCGTATAGTATTACTGCTGCATCCTTCCTCTGGACATTACCCAATGAGGAAAAATTAAAAGAAACTTAATACTGTCATAAAAAATATCGACTTTTACTTCTATTTTGTAATTTAGCAATTAGAATCAAAAAAATTTTTATGTTATATGATTCGTCTCAGTATGACAAATCGAATGGTACTAAAATTTTTCGATTCTAATCAGTGCATCGCAGTATATCATCAAAAAACACAAGTGCGTCATATTGCCCACCCGCGTCATAATACGTAAAAAATTTACATTTTAGATTCCCATGAAAATCCAATTCCGATATGGGATTGTGCATACGGCTATAATTTATCCGATTTACACTTATCTAGCGATACTTATAATTTATCCGAATCTAGCGACACTTTACATATATATTTCTTCGTTTAAGAAACTGTAAAGTTTGAATAGTTTATCCTAAGTAGACGGCAAACGGATTTTAAATTTTCCTTGGGCATTAAAAAAAAATTATAAATTACCATGCTTTACGAGTGTAAGTACGAACAAAAAACTCAAAGAACAATATCGCGACTCAAATTTTATAAACAAAACCTCTATTATATACTCAAACTTATATTCCTGTAATCAAAAAAACAAAATGTCTCACGAACACCAAAGTTTATTAAAGGTTTTTCAACATCTTGTATCAACTAGACCAAAAGAAAAAGTTCTTATGGTCCCAAATGGTACAGAATATGAAGAAATCAATTATCAGGACTATGATCTTATTATCAATAAATACGCCAATTATTGGAGTAAACAATTGGAGAGTGAAAATTTGGAGAAAGACAGCGTAATTGGCTACTTCTCACAAAGTGGCCCTGAATACTTGTATAACTTAATGGCTTTATGGAAATTAGGCTTTACAATTTTATTCCTTAGTCCTCGAAATTCCGAGCCTGCTTTAATTCATTTACTTCAAGAAGCTAAATCGCGTATTCTCATCTATGATTCTCAACTTTTAAAAATCTCCAAAAGTGCTCAAAGTGAAATATGTTCCCAACATTCACAAAAGCTTGAAATTTTTCCAATTCCTAACAGTTTAAAGAATGAAAACATCGATAGTTCAGCTCCTGTTATAAAACTAGATGATGATCCTTATGAAAAAGTTATCGCCATTTTTCATAGTTCCAGTTCAACCTCATTTCCTAAATTAGTTCCTCTCACCAATCGTTATTTTTTGGTTTTGGAGCAAAGAGATAAAGTTGGTGATATTGTCTTAACAACCGCTCCATTATTTCATATTTTTGGAATGATTATTTCAATAACCACTATTTTCTATCCTGGTTCTGTATATGCATTTCCAATCGTCTCAGGATCGGTTCCTTTAACAAATGAAGTTTTATATAGTTTAAATCAATCTAAAGCTAATGTTTTTTAAACTTTACCCGCTATTATTAAACAAATTTATAAAAATCGTCCTGAAGAAATTAAAAAAACTTTACTAAAATTAAGTTCTATCATATATGCTGGTGCTGCATTATCACCTCAAGTAGGTGAGAAGCTTGTTCAATTTGGCGTT